GGGGCGGTTAGCATAAGCCCCTAAGCCATTCTGAGCAGGCCGCTGTAATCGTCCCCTTCGACTCCATGCCTTGGTTCCCAAACTCTAGGTGTCACATGGACCCCCCCCCCACCCTAAGGGTCTAGGGTGTAGGGTCCCCCCACCCTAAGGGTCTAAGCACCCAATAATTAGGTACTTGGGTATTTGGTAATAATAATTACAGTACAGGTTTTGGGTAAGTATATGATTAATTGGGTACTTGGACCCTCAGGGTATGTGGGTTTCTAGGGATTATATTAGGGCCCTATTATATTCCTATTAATTATACCACTATTACAGGGTGGGGAGGTCCTCCTAATCTAGGTGCCTCAATAACTAGTAGCATGGTCCTACATTCCTTGCATAACTATGGTATGGGGTACAGATAGACTTCAACGTGACATTGGTAGTTACCTGGACCCTGCAGTAGGTGTTCCAGCGGGGTTCGCCTGGTTTAGAGTTAAAATTCGTCTAAGAGGCCAGCTGTTTCATGGGGGAACTGCGCTCAATGCACGATCTGCAAACCGAAGCCCGATACTCCTTTCTTGCATAATTGCTAGGGACCCTAGGAACATTTCGAGCAATATTCCTCTCTAGGCCCTTTCCAGAAGGCTTTGCTCAATGAGTTCAACGTGTCTCGGTCTTGACAGAACCCAATCATCCCAGTCTAGCTTTAGACCCAGTCGCAAAGCCCTCTAAAGAAATGCAGGTCCCACCACAAGGGTGATCCCCATATCTATTCCCAATACTGGCAGAATCTTCAGGCCTAGGAGCTGTCCACACTGGTCACGCCATCGAATTCACCCTCACTCTCCTGCGGACATCACGGGAATAGGCTTGGGAATACTTGGTAGTTTCCCAAAATAAGGGGACCCCAATATAGACCCCAAAATACTATAATCCTTATTATAGGGACCCCCAAAAAAAGTACCCCTAATTTAGGGAAACCCCCACTTTGACATGGGGGCTTGAGGAGCTTCAGGATGCCTCAAGTAACCTTCTCGGGAGCCCAGGAGCCCGCCCTTCCTTGCAGGGTTTAGGGTTTAGGGTTTGGGGTTTAGGGTTTAGGGTTTAGGGTGCAGAGCGTGCCCGAACTTGAGCCAAGGATCTTAGCATGAGTTGAGCAAGACTGCCCAAATCATTGCCGTTCTCTTTTCTTACACCCTCTTTGCCATTCACCCTTTTTGTTGCCAGGCTCTGCAGGAAGTGCCTTAAAACTTAAACCCAACTCAAAGGGGTCGGGTAGGCGTCTGTTTGGGTCGTCGTAGGCCTTCACGGACATCTCCGGAATCCGAAGCGTCTTGGGTGACAACCTCAACGCGAGATCTACGGAAGTCTGCTTGCTCGGGGCTTTGTTAGAGGGGGCTTCCTGAAGTGGATCACTTGGGATGGGCCGGCATACAAAGAAGGGGAGAGCGCCTCTGCCTTTTTTAGCTCCAGATTCAGATTCAAAGCCAGGTTGGAGCGTGCTTCGGAAACATCTTTCATTTCTGTTTATGGGTTGTGGCATTCATGACACATGTGGTTCACAAGAAAGCGCCCTGCAACCAGGGTCAAACAGATCGGTGCCTTTGTGTGGGGGCAGGCGGACGGAGCAGGCAAGATCATGTTCTTCTAGTAACGCTGTAACATGCCATATCTCCAAAAACTGGTTAGAATCTGCCTTTGCTAGGGACTATCGCATCGCTGCTTCAAGAATTCTTGTCATACGGGGTTCTTCTGAAAATGAAGGGTTCTTGTTGGGATCCATGGGATATAGGAATATGAAGGGAGACTCTGAATGTAGGGCACCAGTAATCTTACAATGGCATTGCAAAAGACCTAGACCTAGACCTCCTACTGTAGCTCTGGAGTGTGTTAAATATTATTTTTCGTGCCTAGGGAATTGGAAGGAATTAGGAAGCCACAAACTACATCGGGACGTCTCTGTAGGCCATAATGTTGACAAGTGTCTCCACCCTGAGTCCTGGTTTCAACTCCCAGCGCGGGGGCATAAGAATAGAAAGGGAATTCGGGCAATTTTGCTACATTTGAAGTAGGCCTTCAAGTGGTGCATGAGAGACCGTTGCGGTGACTTCTATGGGCAGTGGTCCCAGTATTTGCTCGCACCAACCCAGCATATTAAACGAAAGATGGTACAATCATGTTCAGACGAAAGCAATCGGATGCCGTGACGGGGAGCATTGCGGAGTAGAAAGTTGACCTGGCATGGCGTTCACTACAATCCATCCATGAAACTCCATCCTAAGTACAGGGTCTCCAACGCAGCCCTGGAAACTTCTTTTAGTGAGGCGGACTCCTTGCAGATGGGACAGCCCCCTTAAGACGGACTCCTTGGAAGGGGATTTGAAAGTAGGGGAGCGCAGGCGTTCTCACAGGGTTCAGCCAAGCAGCGTCGCTCTTCTCGTGATGGACCGCACAAACCGAACCTGGAAGAAAACTTTCTATGGCAGAGATCGTCATATGGGGAAATGGGCATGCCACCATACCACCCAAACCCTAAACCCAAACCATGAACACCAAACCCTACCATCCAGGATGATGCTGAGGAGCTTGACTTGACGAGTTCCAGTTTGTCAGAGATTCCTGTCATAGAGCCCTGAGGGATCCCGCTTCAAGGAACCGCAGATCAATTAGCTTCAATAACCCTCAATGAGCCCTAACATCACCTGCTGTCACAGCCATGCATCAGGTCTTCATGGTCACTGAGTCACTAGTTTTGGGGGTTCTTTTCTGGAGACGGCATCCATAAACCCCATGATCCTAGCCATCTCATGGTGTCTCTCATGCGGACGAAAATCCTAACAGCTAAAGCTGCTTCAGTTCTCTCAGCTGTCTGCCGAGGTTCAGGTTTCCGACAGGTTAAGGCTTATAGTCCCCCCTTAGGTAGATAGAATATGGGGCATCTATGGGCATCTTACTAGAATATACCCAAAACCATATTCTATCTACTTAAGGGGGACCGTAGACCATGAAGGAACTTTGAAGGTGCAGGTGCCGTGCGACAAACCCATTACAACTAGCTACGGTCCATGCGTTTGACATCGGGAGCACAGAGATACCACACATTATCTGTTATGTTAAGACTCCTTGAAATCCAGGGGGGGAGTAAACCCTTTAAACCCTAAACCCTTAAACCGCAAACCCTACACCCTAAACCCTAAACCCACTTTCCATTCACATTTCTATTTGGTTGCGCGGGGGCCAGGTTACCGTCATCTGCGGGCTCAGGAATGCACAGAGGAACAAGAGACTAAGCCTTGAAATACGTGGCGCTCAGGACCCCTACTAAGGGTTAATGGAAAAGAAAATGGAAACTACGATATATTTTAGAGTTATATAGGGTTTATGTAGGGGTTTAGGGTTTAAGATTTAGGGTTTAGGGTACTTAGGACCCCTACTAAGGGTTGACACTTAGGTACCTATAATAGGAGTAGAAGGGAGTCCCAAACAGATAAGGAGGTCCAAGCTAAATCCCAAGAAGTGAATTAGCCTTGAATTAGGATCTTTTAAAGGCTTAAAGGGGAAAGGGGAGTCAAGAATGTCTGCCCTAGCCTGGCTAATTTGAAAGGCATCATTGGCAATTGTATGCAATTATGTGAACAAATTTTCAAAGCAGCAACCGCCAAACTAGCAACAACAATAGAATATGAATTGTGACGAAAAATCGTAAAAAAAAATAGAACCTTTACCCTTTCAAAAGAGTAGTCAATAGTCTGCATAGGGCTCCCTTTGCAGATCCCATCTTAGTTCGAATTTGTGGAGGGTTTGTCTTGAGAGTTTGGGAAGGACATTTGTGCCTTTCAAGATGCAGGGTGGTCGGAATTTCACCAGTAAGCCATATAACCTACGGCCCTAAAAACACTAAAACTCTAAGACACTACACATTCTATAGGGTTCGCGAATGTGGGTCTGGCGCTGGATGCGAATACAACAGCAAACAAATGTTGTTGAAAGCATGCTTGGGCTCTTGTAGAATTAGCAGCCTTAATTGATGATGGCACATCCCTGAACACCCACACCAGTTCTCATAAGTCTTTGATGTCTTTGCCGCGCTATAGTTCCTGACATCAATCTCAAACTCATCTTGCTGACTTCGCACCCAGGGCCAACATCCAAACGGTTTGGGTCAGGGGTAGGTAAGCTGTTCCTCAGGAATTAGAACAAGCAATTCATAAGCGGGGGGTCCATGACTGGGGGGGCCGAAATACACAACCATATAAATTATTATTCAGCTCACCTACTTGGGTTATAAGGTTATAAGTAGCCTATGACAGGGAAAAGTCCAAAGATCTAAGTCTTATAAACTATCGCCACGGCATCCCTGAACCCTAAACTCAAGCCCCCTAAACCCTCAGCATAGTGGTGTAAAAAAGGGGGCACCGCCCGGCGAGTGCTTCAAACCGCTAGGGCAAGGGCTCCTGCCTTTGAGCTGTCTCGCTCTCTGACAAAAGTTGCAAAACCCAAACCCTATAGCCTAAACCCCCTAAACCCTGAACCCTAAATAGTAGTTTGCATTTTATTTTCCATTATCCCCATATAACCCCCATATATACCCCCCATACAACCCTATTTTCTCTTCCGTTATCCCAATACAACCTCAATACTAGCCATAATGATGATGAGTTTCCGGGCCTGATGAGGTTCATAGAGGTACCGTTTTCGGGGGTCCCTATCATAAGGGTTATTAGTATTTTGGGATCTATATTGGGGTCCCGCTTTTTTGGGAAAATACCATGTGGGATTAGCATTTGTTTTAATGTCTAGCACGTCGGTTCATGAACACCGCAATTCTCACAAAACATCCACTCAGCTGCTTTGAAAACCTTGCCTGGGAGCCTGCCACTTTCCATCGCACGCCCCGTTTTCTCGCAACTTGTGCAATGCTCTGCAGCTACTATGCTGACTGGGAAGCAGGACGCGACTCTCTCGTTCTTTGGCTGTAAAAGCAAATCTCGTGCCACGTCTATGTCAGCAAAACCTCAGCAGGCAGTCTCGCGACCTGCACAGCGGTGGCGGTGATCGTCGGCAAATTTGCAGCGAGAAACGCGCTGAGTAAGGCTTTCCGGCACTGGGCTACCTGCCCGACGCAGAAACAGTATCTGTGCCTGGTACTCTGGTTCCAGCATTTTCTGGAGGCGGCGCACAAGGGACCCATTTCTGCAAAGGTCTGTTCGATGCCCACCGACAACGTTGAAGCGACCGAAGGACGTGCCCTTGGGGTATTTGTATCTAGCTCCGAGGAATTCGGCCACGATCGAGTAAGTGTGTTCAGGCTTGTGGAGAAAATCCTTATGCAAAGCAAGAATGCGCCCAAAGAACAGGGCAAGCATCGAATTGAGATGCTGTTTTGTGGCTGTGGTTTGCCAAAGATGCCGCATTTGGCCGCCCTCACGCTCTTCCCAGATAGCCGCTGCGCTGCGGAAACAACCGTCCTGCGTTCGTCCACGCTGAACCAGCATCTGGAGCTGTGCATTGTCAAAGTCTTCGTGGCAGTAGTGGTACTCCATGAAATGGCGTTCAATGCGGCCTAGAGGGTCACACACTGTCACAAGCACCTTCGCCTCGACCAGAGCCAGGGCCATCCTCGCCAATCCATATGCAAAGAGTGTAGGAGCACATATACCAGCAAGGTGCGGTCGAATTCCGGTCTCCTAGGCCAGGGGCCCTAGAGAAGCTCCACAACTTGTTTTGCAAAAGCCTAATGCCAGAGGGTCCAAGAATCTGAGAACTCAGTACTTGAGATTGTTGGCAATAGTCTAGGTCTTGGGGATTAAAGTGCTGGACTTGTGGGTATTTGCCATCCCAGCAGAGATGCTTCATGACACAAACTGCGATGTCTCCTGCCACTTCTTATCCTTGGCCAGGGCTATTCGACGGTTGAACTCCTCCACCTGCGATCTCAGCGGCAAGAGTCGGTGTACAACGTCAGACACGAAGAAAAAGTCTTCCTCGCTGCTGGAGAATGCAATCTCGGGATGCTGCTCCAGGTTTCTGTGCAATGATGTAGTGCCGCAGTTGTCAACACCCGCAATTGCAAAGTCCAAATGTAAAGAAGGCCAGTTCAAAACTTCCTGAACATTCACTACATCTTGGAGAAAAATGCCCGTGAGCAAGCTTGCAGCTGGTGATCCAAACATCTTGCCTGCCTCAAATTCTGGAATCAGTATTCTTGTAATCCATTCCGGAGTGCAGTCATGAGGCGTACACATCGAAAGTCTTAAGCTGGATGGCAGGAATCCAGCTAGAGTTGAAGCTCTAGCAGCTGGCGGTAACATCCTGCAGACGCCTTCCAAAAAGAGAGACCGATTTGCTTCGGGCAGGAGATCGAGTAGTTGAGCCAAGTCCATTGTGACTTCCCAATACCGGCCACCATGGACGAAGCACCCTACAACTCCCTCCTGGGCCTGCCCGAACAATACCTGGAGGATTTCTACGGGGAGACGAGAAGAAGATGATGGGGGCGTCATTATGTACTATTGAAACCCTAAACCCTGGAGCTTGAACCCTAAAATCTCTTTCAGGGTTTTACAGAAGGTTTTGGTAATTCCAACCTAAGATAGGAACCCTGTAGGAGTAATATGATAATCCATGAATCCTCGGTTTCAGGGGCCTGGGGCTACCAAAACCTCCTTATCATACTTAGGATGCTACAGGGATCATCATAACATAAGACACCCAAAATACTAAACACCGTTAACCCAAAGTCCTAAAACCTAAGCACCCCTAAACAATCCTAAATCCTAAACACTGAACCCCGACCTCGAGCCATTGGTCGCCATAGCCGATGTCATCCATTTGCAGGTTTGCAATTCGATCCGTGCTGGGCCTCCCCTTCTGCTGTCCTCCACATAAGTTTAGGGCCTTGGGTGCATTTTAGCGTCTTTAGGGTTTAGCCCTACTTGGTTGGGGTTAAAACGGGATGTAGGTAGGGAATGGAAAAGGATTTTGGAAACTGCAGGCATTACAAGAGGCCATAAGATCACACCTGGTCATAACTTGGCCTGTCCTTCCAGAAGAAATTCCCAGTACCAGTCCGGTCGGTGATCTCTCGGGGAATACCTGGGTTGCTGTTAAGGAACTTAAACTAAGTTGCTATAATGGGCATGTGTGTGTATATATATATATAGTAAATAATAGGGTTTCCAAATATACTAACTTAAATCAAATTCCTTAGGGGCAACCCAGACACTCGGTAGGGAAGCGCGAGAGCAACCTCCACTTCTCAACAGCTTCAGAGTATTTGCTGCTGCATAACTCCCCAGGCTGCTGGCGAGACCCAAGCAGTACACCAAGGTTTGCCACGGAGGCGAGGGCCAGAAGTGCCATGTGGTCATGTGAAATCCCAAGGAAATGTCAAGGACTCCCGCTATGGCATCATGCAAGAAACCTACAGGCTTGGGCGGAAAACTGCGCAAAACCACAGGCAAATTATCCAACGGGTCTCGGGCTAAACGACGAAGGCTGTATTTGCCCCGGAACCCTTCACCTCAGCACGTCAGCTGTTTTTTGAGGTGTCATAATCAGCAGGAAGCACTTATAGTTTTCCCATGGGAGAAGAACGCGAAGCTTAGCAGCTGCACGGATCGCACAGCAACATAGATAAACCGCTTCCAGCTTCAGGAAAATCACATACCTGCCCCAGCAACAGTTGTACTCTTAGATGCGCAAAGCTGGCACGTATGGCAGATCCGGGCATTTAGCAACCCGGGCTCTTTGTTTACAAATATTGCCTACTTTGAATCTAAAGTCTGCAGCACAGATACTTCAAGCTCATGGGTTACTGGATGAACACCCTCCGCGCTGTTGATCCTGCACGTCTTGTCAAGTCCCTTCGGATGTATGAAACACACAATGATAGGCAAGCCCTCCATGGCAAGATCTGTTGTTACAGCGTTCGAAGGTTTTTAAGGGTTTTGGATTTAGGGCTCAAGGTTCACGAGCCGCAGTGCAGGGTTGAAGGCAGTCAGAGTTCAGAGCTTGAGGTTCAGGAGCATTGGATCATACAGTGTTAAGGCGATGGGGCCAGGTGGGGTGCAGGGTTCAGGCTTTGGTGGTATTCCCCACTGACCTTGTAGGCGATGTTGTAAAGCGTCTTCTTGTTCGACTTGATAAGTTTCTGCTCGTCCTTTCCGCCATGAAGCTGTTTTAAGGTTTTGGGGCTTTCAGGAGTCCGCCCATCTACTTTTACTGAGCACACGAGATGACAGTCGTCTGGTTGGGGTCCTTCTATCTACATATATACACGTAGATTCTTGTTTTGTGCCGCTCTACCAGTACTGGCCAGGTGGGCGGTGGGCGTGGGGGGGGGAATCTGAGGTCTATAGGACTTTCTGGAAGTGTTTTCTGCTCCCAAGCCTCTTGATGAAGGAGCATACCTTAAAGACTACAACGTTCCTTTTTGGGGGGAACTCTGCAACTGCGATTCCAATCGTGAAGCTCAGGATGTCCGGCTGGGCTACCGAGAAAATCCTTACGAAAACCCTAGGGATCCAAATAGCCTTATGTAGGTAGCACTTACAGACCTTAGGGCGCAATGGCTCTCTGGGAAAACCCTTGACCCCTTTACGCGTTCCCAGTACTTGTGCCGATGTGCTCTAGACACCCTACGGGGCAGTTATGAGCGGGGCTACCATGGCCTCGGGCTATGGGTGGGGCTCTCAGTAGGTCATGGGTGCACGAAGGCATGATGTAGGATTATGGGTTGTCGGATGCGACTAGGGCTCTGAAACATGTTGTCATTTTTGGGTTATATAAAATGATCTGAAAAGTTTGTCCCGCAGCTACAGTTGTCCTTATTCGCCGAGGCATCCAGCCTCAGGGCGTTCAGATCCCTTTAAAAACCCCTTGCAGACTCTGTCAGTCTGGTTTCCCCCCCCCCCACCCCCCGGAGGCCCCTGGAGCCCCCTGGAGGCCTCTGGAGGCCCCTGGAGGCCCCTGGAGCCCCCTAGAACGGCCTGGAAGCGCATGGAAAACCCCCACATGCATGGAGTAACATCTACAAACCCTAATGTATACTATGGCTTACAATATATACAATGATGGGTTTCGCGTTTTGGGTACACGTACTTGGGATTTGCGGTGGATTATGACAAGAGCACTTTTGCGAGATACGAGGAGTTTTAGCTACCGTTCTGTGGCTAGACCCCAATATGCATTTAGACTATTGGTCAAGTGCTTGTGGACACCAGAAGGTT